CATAATGCAGCATTAGCATTAAGCAGCGGAAGTAGTATGCTCTGATTAGTATATAGCTGATTGGCAGATTATATATAAATTAAAAAAAAATATTTTATTTTATTTATGTATGTGTATTCTAATACATTATATATATATATATTCGTCATAAGTTATAACATAAATTTTTATTTTTTTAATTAAATTACTATTTTATTATAATACTATTTAACAAAAAATATGACAGATAGACTAATGGTATATATTAAAATTTCATTTTAATATAAATATAAATATATTTATGAATCAAAAATTATAATATTTAAGTTATATTTTTATTAAAATTTATTTAAAAATAATAGAACATATAAAAAATGATAAATATTAATATATATATGTTTTATAATTACATAAATTATAGAAATTATGTATATTTACTTTTATTGAAATGATTGTCTATATTATATTTATAAATTATAACGTAAATTTTTTTTATAATATTTTCGAATTTAAATTATATTTAATTGAATTAGTATTATATTATAATATTATCTTAATATAATAGAATAAATAAAATAATGATAAATATGAATTTAAATAATTAAAAGTTAATAAATTTGTTTTTGTTGTAATATTAAATAAATTGGTTAATTATATAATTTATTTTTAATTTTTGTAAAAATATTTAGAGATCAAATGCTTTAGAAAAACTCTATTTGAGAGCATTGAAGGAAGAAGATTTTAAGAGCATTTGCATTTTCTAAATGTCATGTTTAATGCTCTGTCAACCAATCAAATTTTAATAATAAAAGACATAATATTCTTTAAAATGCCCTGCAAATCAACCCAAGTTCATCGAAAAATCAACAGTAGATCAAAGTTTTGGCATGACCAACACTATTTTGTGTAGTGATTTTTCCATCACCGAGCTAAATATTCCAACACAAATTAGTAAAATAATAATAAATTAAAAAGTGTTCCACTGTTGATTTCCCGGTTGGAAAAATCTCCGATTAATTAAAAAGTAATTTCCCGGTTTAATCACTATTGGGATATTGTCCTAAATATTTCTAGAAGCTTCTCATATTCCCGTAAATTGATTAGCTGGCAACTTCTCATGGATCTACATTAGAAAGCAGTAGAGAGAAGATTATTGTAGCCTCATAAATCTTCATATCTCTCTTTTCGATTTGCAAACACTCCTCCCCAACCCCACCACCACCAAAGCTTTGATCTGTAAAGCGTTTGTTTTCCGATCATCTCTCTGTCTGGAGCAAGTCCATGGCGTCTTCGGCGATCAGCAAAAGGAGGTCCCTTAGATTGTTGTCGAGGAAATTCCTCAAGCTTTTATCTTGCTATTTCACACCATCCGAATTAAGTGAATCTAGATCTGGATCTCACAATCTGATCACAATCAACCGAGCTGCCCTTCCCCGCAGATCGATCACAGCGACGAAGCAAAGAGTCAGATTCTTTATCTTTGATCACATCTCACAATCAACGGAATTGCCCTTCCCTGCAGATCGATCACAGCGCGGCAATCAAGTTGTTTCGTTGTCTAATAATCCTCCGCCATCAATTTTCTTAACTTTCCCTCCAGGAAACTCGATCCGTGACCGTCAAGTCGATCCTTGACAGATAATTCCACAAACAGAGCTATGATTGCGATCTTTGAGCCTGTTGCTCTTTTCCACGGCGGCCATTGTTTTATATATCACCAAGATTCAACAATAGTTTTCATTAATTTTCAAAAAAAAAAAATATATATAGTTTTCATTACTAACTTGTGAGCCAGTTTCTTGAAGGACAAGAAACTGTTTGTAGCTGCGGATAAACTGTTAGGCTTGTTGTTTTGGCACCTCTGGTTGATTGTTTGTGGTGTCTTGTTCCTGATTGTAATGGTCCGCAGGAACCTCTCCTAGCTGGTCCTTTGGCGTGACCAATTAACTCTGTATGGTATGATGTTTATTATATGAACTAACCTTTGTGAACCAATTGTTTATGCATTATCCATTTTGGTCTATACTCGTAATGTGTTTATTCGTTGAGATTCCTTGGTTGATAATTAGTATCACCAAGGGTGCCTACTTTTAACGTTTGTAGAAGACTCTTGAATTAAGCGTGTGAAGTGAATGATTTGTTTTTTAGTCACAGTCATCTTGTTAATTACTCGTGGAACCTCATACTGTGCAAGTTGTATAATTCATATTGTAGCAACAAAGGACATGATAAATTTCATAGATTTCTAAATCAATTTCAATAAGTAATGAGTGGAACGGGGGATATGATGTGAACTCTATGGGAGAGATGTATTGTCATAGCTTAGGGTTAAACAAGTTCATGGGCGATGCGGTGTAATGCTTCAAAGGCCGGACAAGTTTATAAGAGCATCTCTAACAAAAGTTCTTTTCATGGGGTTTTCATAAAAAAGAAAAATCATTCTAAGCTACACCAACTATTAGCTAATATGGTCAAATGGTAAGTAGACGTGCTTGTGACGCCAACACGTTACGAGTTCGATCTGTCTCCTATGCGAAACTAAAACGCATTGCTTTGGACACCTACATGGATATGGGCCCTTGTTTTCGGCCCATTTGCATACCCGGAGAAATGATCTATTCATGGACTGCATCTTCCCAGGGATTAGTCTGGACCCCTCCATAGGTCTGTGATTTGCATGAGTTATCAAAAAAAAAAAAACTATTAGTTAATATGTTGCAAACCATCCAAAATCTTGAAATATTCTCTAAACTACACAAACTAATATATGATACATGGTGACATACACTAACTATGTGTAAACATGTTAAAAACTACAAATTGGAGTTTTTTGATAATTTTTATTCTATTTTGATGTCAATATGTAACTATTTTCTTAAAAATCATTAAAAAATCCAAAAAGAAATAAAACACACAAAAATCCAAAAAATAGAAAAATCCATAAAAAATTTCAAAACATTATTAAAAATAATAATTTAATTTTTGATTAAAAAGATAAAAATATTTTCAGTTTTGAAATTTAAAATAAAATAAAAAAAAACTTAAAATCCCAAAATATCTAATATTCAAAAATCTGCATTTTACAAAATAATTCTTAAATCTAAAAATTATAATAATACAAAATTTCAAAAAATATAAAATTTACCAAAAAAAAATTATGTTATAGATAATTATACTTGTAATTTTGAATACCGGACCAGGATATATTCTCATGTCTTTTTGCACCATTAGGACAACCATAAGGTTTCCAAAATTTTGATTTAGGATTTGCGGATTTCCATAGCGGTCGCTAAATTTTGAGATTTTATAAATTTAATTTAGTTTCCAAAATTAATTATTTTATATTAAAAAAAATTAAAGTTTTGAGATTTTGGAATCTTATAAATTTTTGGATTTTAGAAAAAAAAATTAAAATTAAAATTTTGTGTTTTTAAGGATTTTTTTTTTCTCGGATTTCAATATCTTAATAAAATTTTTAAGGATTTTGTTTCTTCTATTTTTTGGATTTTCTTGTTTTTTTTTCCCGGATTTTAAATGATTTATTAAGAAAATAATTACAGATTGATCCAAAATAGAATAAAAATTATAAAAGAACTCCAATTTGTAGTTATTAACATGTTTACATATAGTTAGTGTACGTTACCATGTATTATATATTAGTATGTGTAGTTTAGAGAATATTTCAATACTTTGGATGATTTGCAACAAATTAGCTAAAAGTTGGTATAGTTTAGAATGATTTTTCCTAAAAATATATAAAATAATAATAAAGTATTGTGGGTCTCTTCTACACAAATGGAAAAACCAATCGAAAAAGTTTATTCAAATAGGTTCTTCCAATAATGGAAGAGAACCATAATATTTTAGTAATATTTAGTACTTTTTTCATTCCAGAAAGATAAAAAATTTTCC